TCTGCAGGATTTTTTATTATCCATGTGACCTCATTCATCTGAACAGCTTTACTTAATTTCATATGTGGTTATGCTTACTGAAATGCGACCTTCACAGTACTTCTATATCTTTGACAGCAAYAAAAGTTGTGTATCTTTGCTGCTAAGTTAAATAATCAGTTTCTTCTGCAGCCTGAGTCTCTAGAAGACACATTTTTAATCTACAAAGTTCCTGCCACCTCTAGCCCTGATTAATTCTTAAGACAACATTCCCATTTCAGAATGCAAATAGGTCATAATATTTAGCTTTTTTTTTCCTCCTGCATAAGAAAGTGAAAGCAGTAGGGAAATCTTTCTTCCCTTTGCRAGATTTGTGAAAGCAATCTCTTGCCTCATAGTTCTTTCTACTTCCACCGGCTGCATAAAAGCAAAAAGAAGTTTCAGGGGATTTTTTTCGAGATGTTGAAACTTTGTGCCTGTGTGGAGATTTCACTACAGCTAATGGTGAGATCAGGTCAGGAAGCAACTCAGAATCTCTCTGTCCCTGGTTGTGACTTCAGATAAGGACCCAGGTCTCCCCTTCAGTGGTCAGAAATGTGTAAGGTCACCAGCCCCTTTCCACACCCCCCTCTTCCCACCTTCTCTAGAGTGATGCAGGGACACTTCTGCCCTTGTTCCCTGACAGTGACCCAGAGTCCCTCCCTCATTCAGCCAGTGTCCAGAGACACAGTCATTCCAAAGGTTTACAGCAAATTCCTTTGCACCCCAGCCCCCAAACAGAGCAGGGGCTGATTCCWCAGGTCCTGCAGCTCTTTCCTGCAGGCTGAGCCCCCTCTCTGGTGCAGGATTGCTGGCTCAGGGMATCCCCAGGCTGCTCAGGGGCGGCCTTTTCCTCCCCAAGAGCACCAGGTTTGGTTCTGCATTTTGGAGGGTTCAGGAAGGCGCTGTGGCATACCCAGCACATCCAACCACACCACATAATGATGTTTTATCAGACTGAAAGACAGCAGATGGAAAACATTAACATGAACTTGACAAAATTGTTTTTCCCACGTAACAAAAACGGATGTGTTAGCAGATWCACTAAAAAAACTACCAGCCCTCTTAATACATGTCAATAAATTAGATTCAGATACATCATGGATTCATATACTGATTTATAAAGACAGCCCCTTTTATTTGTGCATTAAGACATTGCAATAAATAATGCTTACTRGAGAATGCAGAAGGTGCATAAGATCATTGTGAATGAAAATGCTTTAAGGTYTTTACCAATTTATTTTCTGTCAAATATATCCTATGCCACAGGGATTTGGAGCAGTGTATTTTCCTTGAATCTCATGGATGCTTGGTATATATCTGTTAATTCAGAAGACTTCTGGCATAAATGGACCCGAGACAAAGTTACTGACATAGGTGGGTTATTCTTACATGATTATTTTGTTTTATTTTCTCTCTTCCCTCCCCCCCCCCGTCCTGCTATTCTCTTACTGAATTTTTCAAAGCTCTTTTAGAATTTTCTCTTCAGGGATTTCCATTATCCACATGTAAACTAGGAGGAAATTCAGGCTAGGTGTTACATACGGCAGTTATTTCAGTAGTGTGTGAAAAGAATCCATGGGATCCATCACAGAAAAATAAAGGAGGCAATGACCCTCTTGAGATGTTTTCTGACCACAAGGGTAAAACTAGAGAATAATATCCCTGTAGATGGAAGACGCTCACATAGCATTCCACAATCTTCCAGTTCCTCTCTCAGAAACTGAAGCACCACAGAATAAAGAACAAACAATATCCTTGCAAGTCTGAAGTATACAAAGCATTGACACAAACTTCAGTACTCTTGGAAGTCATTCCAAACTAGTCCATAAAATGAGATTTGCAAAAAATGATACAAAATTAAGAAAGATCTGCAGGGTCAGATTTCAAGGACAATACACAAACCAAACACATTACAAAGAGAAAAGCTGAGAAGGAAGAGAAGTATTTCAAAAAGGCTTATTTGTTTTATCTTTTAGCACTTGCAAAGGAGTCACTTCTGTTTGTTGAAACAAGGAAGTTTGTATTTGCTAGTGAGGAACATTAATTACATTTGTGTGGCTGAGAGATTGYGATCGTGTGGCTTTTTATGTGTCTGAGAGAGTAAGAGGGGCATGGAGTAGCAAAGGAGGTCAAAGTACAAGATATTTAATGGATAAAATCATGGAAAAGCAAAAAAAACTTCTAATGGATGAGGTGGAATCTTTTGCTGTACAAAAAAACAGCCTTTATCATTGTGACATGAGAAGAAGAAAGGGATTTTTAAAAGCCTAGCTAAAAARATGTGAGATTTGTGAGAATCCTGGAAGTAAAAAGAGAAAGAAGTCCAAGTTTTCCAATATTAAACCAAAGGATGACTGCACAGATTGACTTCAACAATGAAACCATACACATAAACTACAATTCTTTCTTCTGCAGATGATGAAGCCCTATTCCCTACAAGACCAAACGAGCTGGATACTCGTGTGGTTTGTCCTACTGACAGCTTTTCAAACATTTTCCGAGATGTTGCAATGTTACGTCCAGCAGCCTCAGAAATCCATAACTTCCTGAAGGGCCTCCAGATAAACAACAACTACCTTGAGAGCGAGTTTTCCAAGTGGAAAGGTATGGTAACAGCACTCTGCTTTGAGTTAYAGTTTAAACCATTCCTGTGAAAAAGGATGTTATCACACTAACTGCTTTTTTTGTTTCATTCCAATGTTCTGAAAGTATTTTAAACAGTTTGCCMCTGAAAGCTAAATATAGGTAGCAGGAGAGGCTTCAAAATAAGCTCTTAAAAAAATTCATGAAGTCTCACTCCAAACGATAGAGGAGAAGAATCCCAAGTAGTCAACCCAGCACATGCCTGTAGCACTGGGACTATAATACTCAAGGGAGGAGGGAGGGAGCTTTGTTTCCTGTGACATTTTCATTTGTAACCTGTAACCTTTGTAATAATGTTCCCTGTTATCCAGACAGGGAGTTTTTTTGTTCTGTTCTTTTTTGCAGCTGTGTGCCTGTTCTCATAGTGAGCAAGGYACCCAACATATTCAGTCTTTAGTGTGTTGAGAGTGCAAGGTGCCATTTTAATTTGTTTTGTATTAACAGAATTCAAAAAAAACCCCACACCAAACCAGATCAGAATTGCTCACAAAATTAAGTTTATTCTCCAGAGCCCAAATTTAATATCTTTTAGTCAGAGGAAAGCCAAAGACATTGCAGAGTAAATAGTGAAAAGAGGAAGCCAGATGAGGAACTGAGAAATGACTGAACTGCAGCCATCAGCTATGTAGGTGGGTGTAGGACACCAGAAAAGTTGAAGTCTCTTTTTGTTAGCAATAGACTCTCCTCAGCACTTCCCTTGCACTGAGCACCTCTTCTGAAAAAAACTGCTTCTTTCCTAGACTGTGAGCTGGACTCCCAGCCCAACCACCTGACAACAGCCACAGACAAGCTCATCCTGATTGACACCGCCTTTGCCTTTGCCACCAGTTACCCACCCCTGATGAGACCAGCAAGGAACGTGGATGTCATTTTGCATTTCAACTACAGCTCAGGCTCACAGACACAGGTGAGTCTTGTACGTTCTTCTTTACTGATTTCTGTTTCATCACTGAGTTCCCAGAACAGCTGATCCTCTACTCRTAGCAACTTTGCTTTTTCCCAATACCTGGAAACAGTTTACTGGGGGGGGGTTACACATCTTTATGGAACTGTACAAATGTTATCTGGAAGTAATAATTTAGTAAACTGTATCTGCCYGTTTTTACATGTAAATGGTTTTAGCTGATTTTAAGGCAGTCAGATGTAGAAAGAATTAAGCTAACTACCTCTAAACATTGTCTAGTATTTCTCAGTGCAATTACACACATTCCTATGSAAGGGAAAATGTACCTTCAGGACGATATAACTGCAACAATAGAAGGGTTTGATGCAGAAGACCAGATTTGCGAATAGATGCAACAACAGTTTGTATTAGGAATGTTAAATTCCTTAGGAATAAAAAGTTGTCTGAAGGCAACTTTTTCATATCCAAATGTGGCGTGTAGATTTTCAAAGAAAGGTATGTGGGCTCAGATCCATCTCACTTAACTCTGGCCTTCCCAGTCATGGCTTCATAAACAACCTACACCTAAATTTGGTATGTACCATAATCTGTCAGAATCTGTCAAAATATATCAAACTATTCCCAGTAAAAATAGGTTTTTGGTCAAATTCAAAGTTCTTCCCATATGTTCTGATGTTTTCTTTTGTTTTGTTTTCCTATTGTGGCAACTAGCCCCTGAAAGATGCCTCTAAATACTTTGCAAAACAGGGAATTCCTTTCCCTACAAAGGTGCCAGATGATCAGGAAACACCACATCTGAAGGAATGCTACRTTGTTGGTGACAAAGAGAGCCCAGAAACACCTATTGTGATATTTTTCCCTCTAGTAAATGACACCTTCAGGGAATACAAAGCACCTGGTAAGTTTACAGTTACC